TCTGGGAGTGCGGCGTTCATCTCGCCTTATTGGCCAAGGGAGCCGGCATACAGCTTCCAGGTCATGTGGCCAGCATGACTAAGCCGCTTTCTGGCAAACCAGAGCAGCGCACGGAAACGTTTACCTTCCCGCCGGAGCGGTACCTATTTATCTACTTGCACTTTGACGTGCTTTCGAACTGCTAGGTTGGCAGGAGCAGGGGCCGAGCAACGGGAGCTCACCCCGTCGCGGGGATTCGAACCGCCGACCTTCTCATCGGCAAGCCCTAGGCTCTGTGGTTTAACCCACAGCGCCACCCGCGTCCCTTGCCTTCTTTAGCAAGTAGAAATATTCAGGAGTACATTAATAAATATGAGTTATGTCTTAAACTCTTAGGATCCTGAGTACATCCTCCTTGCTTTCTAAATTTAATTAATATCAATAGACCACAGGGATTCTAAAAAAACCCAATAAATCCATCAACCAACAAGTACATAATGAAAGACTGAAGTGGTACAAACACAACAGACTGTGACCTGCAGAATTGGGTCTCCTCTTCCAATGCTTTAGATACATACACATCTAAACTCATTGCAATGTGTCGTCGTCTCCCCCTCCTCCCCAGCAAATGAGCATGACTGAGATCCAATTCAGTGTAGTAAATAGTGTGTTGGACTTGTCCCAGGGAATTTCAGATTCAAATTGCCACTCAGGCATGAAGCTAACTAGTGTGCTTTCGACCTAGCCTTCCACACAAGGCGGCTGTCTCAGAAATGAGAAACCCCTATGTATCGTGCTGCAAGAGCTTTGGAGGCGTAGGGTGCAAAACTGATGGCACAAAGCCCACTTTGAGTGTGCAGTCTTTGTTCCAATATGCCTCCTATTCCGTGGCTCAGGAAAGGAAAGCCTTCTGCATACATCGCAAAAGCTTCAGCAGCAACTAAAACAAGAAAAGAGTCATTTATACAATATGACAATGCAACTAAAAATGAGTAGAGAACCAGCACAAAACAGGTGTGTGGCCCATTTTCTAACATCCTCCGCATCTAGGTTCCTAAAAGGTTGTTTGGAAACCACGAGTTCTGTGACTCAATATCATCATACATAAACCAGACCTTCTTTTCTTCTTATCTGCCATGCATGAAAAATTCATGTATTCATCACCCTTCCTAATGCACAGCATTGCACATCAATTTAATGGAGGGGAAGAAGCTTTTAAGTCCATTTCATAATAGCTTGCTGGATCAGGCCAAAGGCCCATCTAGTTGAGCGCTGTGTTCTCTCAACGGTCAATCCCAGCTGCCCGCAGAAAGCCTGCAAGCAGCACTCTCTGCACCGGCTGTTCCCAATGACTTGTATTCCGAGGCACAGTGGAGATAGAAGATTCACTATTGTGGCTAATAGCCATTGCTCTCAAACATTTCTGCAGTCAAATCTTTTCCGTTACCATTCCAAAGCTATTTTCGTTCTAAAATTATCTAGACTTGAGAACCTTTTGGCTAAGAAGTTTTTATTTTGGGGTAAAAACTGTTATGCTGTTACTTGCTTTGTCTAAAGTAACCTAGACAGACAAACGGAAGTCACTCACTTTTGGATTTGAATGGTATTCCTTGACCCCCTCTGCACTTTATTTGGCTAAAATGAACTAAATAAGCTCCTTAGATGTCAAAGGCAACATCTGCTATTATTTTCTGCAGCCACAACATCCTCCCTGCTCTCCTTTGTTGATTCAAGGTTATACAATCCCGACATAGAACACTCAGAGGCTTCATTCATTCATTTTTCCCCCTGTTAGAATTCCATCTTATTAGTTCTGAACTAATTCTACAAATTAATCTACTCTGAATACTTCTGGATCAATGGAGATAATCTCATGAAACATATTACTTCCAGAACAGAAGCAAAAGGCCTGAGGATTTCAGTAGTCTGGGCAGTGGTCACATATTTGGCTTCCTAGAAAATCATCGTGAATAAATGCTCCCCCCGCCCCCCCCCTCCGAAGAACAGGCTTCATTCAGTGCAATGTTGTTTAATAAGTACAAAATTATTAGCATTTACTACTAATACTTCATTAGCAAGCCCGGGGTTCCATTTTTATGCAATGAATTACAGTTCAATACACATAAACTGGAAGGGTTACCCTCAACGCAGGAAATCTAGGCCCATGACAGTTTCTTCCTCTCTTTTTTTTAAAAAAAGACTTGATAACAGTCTCCATTGGCATTAAATGCAGCATTTCTGGTGACAACTGCTGCACTCAAGATGGTTAGCGCAATCTAGTGGAAGGCGTTATCATCTATACAAAAGTGCCTTATGACCAAAGATACAGAACAATTATGAACCTCATTTCAATTCAACTGCTTTTTCCGGCAACCTTAATTTTTCAATTTTTCTGGCAAGTTAAACATGTTGCCACATACAAACCTTGGACATATCGTCCTAAAGACCTAGGTTGTAATTCGCAGTACTTTCTTCAGGAAGAAATGCATATAGTTTACACCAAATAATGTTGAGATCACAAAAGTTCCATGTCTCCTCTTAACTGAGGGACACTCAGAACTACCACAATAGAAGGTGCAGGCTCAGCTTATATATGATTACCTTGGTATTGGGTGAAAATATTGTTATTATAAACTTTATTATCCACCCTGAGCCTTTGGGATAGAAGCAAGTACAGTGGTACCTCGGGTTAAGAACTTAATTCGTTCCGGAGATCCGTTCTTAACCTGAAACTGTTCTTAACCTGAGGTACCACTTTAGCTAATGGGGCCTCCCGCTGCCACCGCGGTGCGATTTCTGTTCTCATCCTGAAGTAAAGTTCTTAGCCCGAGGTACTACTTCTGGGTTAGCGGAGTCTGTAACCTGAAGCGTTTGTAACCTGAAGCGTTTGTAACCTGAGGTACCACTGTACCAACAATCAGAGGTTTAAACACCTGTCCCACTAATGAATTGACAAACACACCCACCGTTCTTTTCAAACAGTTGTTAAGATAATAGTGTATGAAGGTGAAACAGGATGGCCATTTTGCAAGCAATAGGTCAAGTAGGTTTGGGTGAACAAAAAAGGAAAAAAGTGCATGGTAGTTCAACACAAGTTCATTCAACTCGGTGGGTGCTCAGGTGAAGAACAAGAGGACATGCTCTTGTCTTCCAAACGTACCTTTACAACCAGTAACGAGGCCTCTCTTCTTCTGTATTTTAACAAAGCAGTCCTGGCAAGCAACAATTCTGAGTAGAGGAATATCAGATAAAATCGATGCTTAACCATTTACCCCAGGGGTAGTGTCAGTAGTTGGCATATTCAGGCAGATGAAGAGGCCCTGGAGTGCCCCAATGCTGACTCCTGATCTGCTCCTGAGCCGGTGAGTCAGTGGTGGGATGAACAGCCCCCCACGGTGTTTTCACCTGTTCTTTCCCTCTGCGCTGAATTCGTACAACAGCCCAAAAGACGACGGGAGAAGAATGAGCAAGTAATGGCTGTTCCTTGCTACTACTGTCATCTACTCACATTCTTGTCTCTATGGAAGAGTTAGCAGGTGGCAGAAAGGAGGAGTCCTGGCCACCTGGCCATTCTCTTGGCGAGGGACCACACTGTGCTGAGGAACATAGGAATAGAATGATGCATCGGCTTCATGGCACATCTAACATCCTGTTCTCACAGTCTAGCATTCTTTTCTCACAGTGGGCAGCCAGAAGCCTAGGGGAAACCTACAAGCTTGACGTGAGTGCAAGAGCACTCTGCTCCCCTGTGATTTCTAGTAGCTGGTATTCAGGAACGTGACACCTCTGACTGTGGAGGTAGAACATAGACCTCATGGCTGGTAGCCAATGATAGCCTGGTCCTCCATGAAACAGTCTAATCTCCTGAAGCCATCCCAGTGGGTGGCCATCACTGCCTCCTGTGAAAGATAGGGCCATAATTTTAACATGTGCCGTACCATGTGCTGCATGAATAAATTCTTTTTACCTGTCCTGAATCTTCCAGCTTTACTGGATTTCCCACAAATTCTGCTGTTGTGAGACAGGGAGAAAAAATTCCACTCTTTTTTTTTTAATACCGTGCACAATTTTATAAACTACTGTCATGTCACTTGCCTTTCCTCTGAACTAAAAAGTACCAAACCCTGCAACCTTTCTTCATAGAAGGGTTGCTCCATCCTCTTAGGAATTTTGGCTGTTCTTTTTTGAGCCTTCTCCCAACTCTACAATGCCCTTCTTGAGGTGGGGAAGTAAGAACTGTACACAGTATTCCAAATGTGGTCACACCATATATTTGTATTATTATAATTTTATTATTTATATCCCGCCCATCTGGCTGGGTTTTCCCAGCCACTCTGGGCGGCTTACAGCATATATTGAAACATAATAAAAGATCAAACTTTAAAAACTTCCCGATACAGAGCTGCCTGTAATAATAATAATAATAATAATAATAATAATAATAATAATAATGGCATTATTATACTGGCAGTTTTATTTTCAATTCCTTTCCTATTGATCCCTACCATGGAATTTGCCTTGTTCACAGCTGCTACACCCTGGGTCAACATCAAGGTGCCTTTCTGGTTACTCACCACCAGTTCAGACCTCATCAGCGTATAAGTGAAATGAAAATTCTCTGCCCCAGCATGCATCGATTTACACCTGTTTTCACTGAATTGCATTTGCCATTCTAACGTCCATTCATTCCGTTTGGAGAAGTCCTTTCAGAGCTCTTTGCACTCTCTTTTTGCCTTAAAATAAAGAGAAGAGAAGCCTACCAATGGTCCACCAAAACCTAGAGCCAGCTCTCCCCATTTTCCACTCAAGATCTCCAGAATCAATCATCACCAAAACTGAACACAGAAAAAGTAAAAAGTAAAAAAAAAGAATGACAAGGCATCTGATGTATCATCAAACAACACTGGGTCTAATAATGCAATATGATTTAGGTGCATTGCACCACACTAGACTTCATACTTACTTTGTCCTCATAAAAAGGCAAGAGATTTGCAATAACTTGGGTGGCATAAAACAAAAAGGAGTGTGTAACACAACATGATTTTTAATGTGTAGCAAGTCAGCAGTAATTCAACAAAATTCTATTGCGTCCCCCCAATATTTTTGGATGCACTAATTTCTTTGCATTCTTTTTCCTTTTCTATAGGTCAGCTATCATATTTATACACATATCCAAAACGAGCTGATTCACCAGAAATGAAAAATGCAATCAAATGAATCTGCCTCTTATTAGCAGATTTGAGAAAGCAGTGTGTGTCTAAACAGCCCAAGGCCTATTTCCCCCAAAGATTCAGGAGAACACAAGAGTACTATATGACTTTGCACCATTTAAATGTTATTTTATTAAATATTTCCGGTTCAAGGTTTCATTATAACAAAGCTATGAAGGTTCTACCAACATTCAGAAAAAAGCCTAACTTGATTTCAATTAATTCTCTATCATGCAAAATTTTTGCATCAAACATCTTCCATTTCCTGTTTAAAACTTGATATAATATTATATATAGATGCTTACATTAACCCCATACGAGAACATTAAGAATGCTAAAGGTTTATAGCTGTGTTGGATAATGGCCATACCAAGCTAAGGTTCTCATTAAATTAGAACATGTCTCGAAGACTGTGCAAAAACAAAGACAAAAAACTTCAACTCAAAACTGTTCCAAAAAAAATATTTTTGAAAGATGCAGATACTTAATACAGAGAGGGTTTATCATTAATAATCTTCAGATAAAGGGACAAGGAAAGATCAGACCTAAAAGCATGCAGAATTTGTCATTTTTAAAAAGCTGCATAACTAATTTCCTGTTCCCCACTTCGTGGCTTTATTGTTAAAAACCTGAATAAAATTATCAAGGATTTTCTTTGTCGCCTCACTCACTAAGCTTAGTGCTATCTAAGGATGTTTTACATTAAAGGTCTCACTTCTATCCCGCTACTTGAGACAGCATTCCTTTTCTTCTTCACCTGGCTCTAGACGAGGCTGAAAAGGGTTGAAGGATTTGCGCAGACAAACCTCGCAAAGGGTAAATTCCCTTTGCTGTGCTGAAGATAAGCTGTGATAAATGCTGTGATAAATGCAGTGGGACTGAGCTATCAGCCTTGCTAGCAGTAACAGAAGCTAGGATGTTCACTGCAAAGTAGAAAACACATTCCTTCTGTTCCATGGGATCGTCACAACTTTCTGTTGTCCTAAAACTCCATCAAAAGGTTGTCTTCCTGCTATTCTGCTTAGTCCTTTATAGGCAGCAAAGGGGTGGAGTGTAATATAATGGAATCCCATATTCTCAAATTTAAGTGACCATACATGCAAAAGAGATTTGGTGTTCTCCGTGTCTGGAAGACAGGGAGTCAATCTGAACGTCAAAGTTTACCGGGAAGGTTTCTATCCCGCTTCTACTACATAAAAAATGGGTAAAACAATGGCCAAGGTGTACAACTGTCAAACATTTTCTATGTAGAGAATAAAGAGCAATGCTTGCCCTTCTTAGTGGCAAGGGAGACAATTGTGGCCAATGCAAACTGGCAATCCCCTATATGGGTGTGTTGGGTTCCTAGTCGTAACTACAGCAGAAACTGGAGAACCTTCTGCATAAAGTAAAACCAAAGTTCTGATTCAACGTTTAACTGAGTAAACACACCACCACAGATGATAGGAGGGAGAGAGATTAAAGAAAATAAAATACACCCAATGGAACAACAGGAAACAAAGCTGTGTCAGAGGGACTGGGCTAGTGGAAAAAGCACTTGCCTGAAGTCGCTGGCTCCCTTTGCTCATTTATCAGAAAACAAATAAAACTGGGAAACCAGCAAGCCCCATAGTTACAGGGGTGCATATATATATTTATATATATATAGAATCTATTTCAGTATAAAACACAAACTAAGTTACACACCATACAGGAAAGCTAACGCATGTGTGTGTGCAAAACTTCAGGGCAGGATGTTAACACAAAGCTTTTCAACTGTTTCCTAAGCAGCACATATTCCGCAGCAATCTGGATCCCATCTATTCTAAACAAAACAAAATCAAAACAAGCCATTCATGTACCCTCTTCCCCCTAATATCATTTGCTCTTAAACTTTGCCCTTATAAGCTGACTTCATGCCTCCAAGGAGTGGCTGTTTCTTAAAAAATAAAATAAAAATCAGTGCACCTCTGAAGAGCAAGCTCCTACGCTATTTAATCCAGCTCACATTTGTTCCTTAAAACATTCTTGTTCATTTTAACGCAGTCCATCAGTGGGACCCAGTGGCCAAGCAAACGGCTGACTGCTGCACATCTCCACCGCTGACCCTTGGGCTCAAGTCAGTCTGCTGTATGGCAAAGGGCCGAGAAATGTCCTCCTTCCACCTTGCCCTCTTTTCTCCACGCTGGCCCCCGAGAGCTCGCCGCCAGCCACATCTCGCCGATTAAAGCTGCAGCATAGCCCGGACATGTTAGTTCCCACTGTGCCTTCACAGAGCACAGGTTCCAGCATTTTGCTGGCTGAGCTGCTTTCTCTTCCCCCTTCTTTGCTCCGGTTCTGAAAGATGCTCCACAGCTGCTGCCCCATCATCAGCCCTGGAGAGGAGGCGCTGGACACTCCGTCATGGATGATGATCTCTTTTCTATACAAACAATATGGGTTTCTCTCTTGAGATTTAAAAGACACCTTCGTACAGCAGAAACAGACACGATGGATCCATGGAAAAACAACAGAAAGGCGGCAGCGCCCGGAGCATCAGATTCATGCAGGGTTTCGTGCATTTGGCTGCTGCCGGTTTGTAATTCTTTTTTTTTTTTAAACGTCAAAACGAACATGACCGTTGCTGTAATTCAGGCACTCCAGAGCTGCTTGCTGAGAAGATATTGCCCTCCCGCCGAGTATCTCCGAAAGCTGCTGCAGTCAGAAAGAGGAGACGGGTTTGAAAGACAGAAGAAAATGTAATAATAATAATAATAATAATAATAATAATAATAATAATTTTTATTTATACCCTGCCCTCCCCAGCCAAGGCCGGGCTCAGGGCGGCTAACAAGCAATAATAAAAACAAGTTGAACGAATACAACTTAAAAACAAAATTAAAATTCAACATTAAAACATTAAAATGTAGCCTCATCGCAGGAGGAGGAAGAAAAAGAAAAAAGACAGAGGGGGAGGGAATCAAATTGGCTGCAAGCCAAAGGCCAGGCGGAACAACTCTGTCTTACAGGCCCTGCAGAAAGAAATCAGATCCTGCAGGGCCCTGGTCTCATGAGGCAGAGCGTTCCACCAGGCCGGAGCCAGAGTTGAAAAGGCCCTGGCTTTGGTTGAAGCTAATCTAACTTCCTTAGGGCTCGGGACCACTAGGGTGTTGCTATTTATGGACCTTGAGGCTCTCCGTGGGGCATACCGGGTGAGGCGGTCCTGTAGGTACGAGGGTCCTAGGCCGTGAAGGGCTTTAAAGGTCAAAACCAGCACCTTAAATCTGACCCTGTACTCCACCGGGAGCCAGTGCAGCTGGAAACGCACTGGGTGAATATGCTCCCATGGCAGAGATCCCGTGAGGAGCCTCGCTGCAGCATTCTGCACCCGCTGGAACAGCTTCAAGGGCAGCCCCGCATAGAGCGAATTACAGTAGTCAAGCCTAGAGGTGACCGTCACAGGGATCACTGTGGCCAGGTTAATGGAACAGCTGACATTACCCAGCAGCTGGCACAATTAGGCAGGTTTTTTTTGGGGGGGGGTCCTGTTTTTGCAAGCTCCCGTTAAGTATTTTAACTCAAGTTAGCTGTAATCTCAGCACTGCACTTAGTGGAAGTCAGGATTCCCCAATAAGGAAATCTAGTTAGCAAACTCCGTTCAATAATGAACCCTGGTTAGCTATGTCTCATGGTGGTGCCAATGAAATGTTTAACCACGGTTCAAAATTCAGTGGTGGAATAAAGACCAAAAGGAATTCATGTCAAAGAGAATGAACTGGGGGGGGGGTTATGTGCCTTTAAAATGCAACCAAACTGTAGTACTTCACTTGTGCACAGAATTGACAACATGCTCCTAGATGTATAAAACTATAAATGTATTAACAGCATGAGCAGATTAACTATGCTGTTTATCACTGCAGATGATATCAGGAGTAAATTGTTGGAACAGGTTGGAACAATTTGTTTCCTTCTTATCTATGTGAATACAGGAAGTGAGGGGATCAAGTCAGGAGCCAAGAAATGTAGGTTGCAGTGTATGGTACATCCTTCTAATCTGTAGCATTGTAACAACCAGAGGTTGGCTCCTTCCCTGGAGCTAAACTCCTATAAAACTAAACATATCTTTACTTTATGACTTTCAGCCTTGAGTGCTTTCTGTCTAAATTAAGTATCCAACACTCTTCTGAAGCTGTCAAAGCTAAATCTTCAACAATTCCAGACATTGGGACACGCTGCATTTTGTGCATGATTTTGCCCAACATGGTCTTCAACAGGAGACCATGAGAAACACCAGGCATAGATAATAAAATTCTGGCTCGGTGAATTCCTATTCTTGTAGACAGGAGGGAATTCAGCAGTGAATTAGCCTGCACCTCCAGGGACTGGAGACGCTGGACTAAAAAAGCTCTTTTGAGGCAGCTGGAACCTCCCACCAATCTTCAAGATGGCCGAACAATGACAACTGTGAAACAACACTAAGGGGAGAAAACCACATTTGTCCTGTTCATCCTTCTCCTTTGCCTTTTCCACCCCTACCTGATAGGTCTGACACCTTCAGCATGCTTTGCACTTCACTGCTGGGAAAACAGTAGTGAGCATTATCTACTTAGCCAAGAGATTTGAACTGCCATGTATCTTTGCAAGTTCCCATCCACAGGTCTCCTTGGTAAGGCTTCCTCTGCCGTACTATACTTCCTCTTTGTACTGGAGAGACTTTCCTGGCCCAACATACCCATCTTTCAGCTTCACTGGAGTGGAGCTGCCGGGGCCCCAGAGCAGTGGTAGTGGACATTCAGCCACTTGCCGTCACGGCGGTGCCAAACACGGGTTTCTTCCGACTGTGTGGTGCGGGGTCGGCCTTGACCGTCGATATACTGTGTCAAGCGGATGTAAGCAATGCAGGCTGCGTCATCACCAATAACGTGAACGTGGGGGTTCAGGATGGTGGTGTGGATTGGCTTGCTGTTGTTCTTGGACAATACTGGGGAGACATGTGAAACAATGAGCATTCCCCCTAACCTCGCAAAGAGAAACAGGTTTATTTCGTTCATTACTTTGGTCACTCCCCCCAATAGATCACACGCCTTTTGCCTTCCTTTCCATCCCAGTCAGACCATAATGAAGCAGTCCGACCAACTGCCCCACAAAACTCCTTCCTTTTCTCAATTGCTTCTATGCTCCAGTCCCTCCAATAATTTTCTTAAAATGAATTCATCTCAGGCTCCTGGAGAACCAGGTTACTTTTTTATTATTATTATGCTGTGAACCTAAAAGATTCTTTGAAAATCAAAGACAATGGGTTTTTCCAAGGAACATATTGTGTTCTGGTGTTGCAGGCATATATTAACCTGCAACAGCAGGAAAAGTTGACTGCTAAGGAGAAATAAAACAAACATAAACAACATGCAGAGAAAGGAGCCACCATTTTTCTCCGCCTGCCTCTGGGGAGCCTTCAGAGATTCCAACAGTCAGAGCTTGCTTATAAGTGGCTATCTTTCAAGTGTTGGCTATAGCACGGAGAAAAGGACCTGAATCTTGCTTGATACTATTGTTATTTATTCATGCCTTTCTAAAGAAGTAGACAAGGTGGAGTTCACATCTGTGTCCTGCTACGACCCCCTCCCCTTTTCTTCTGCACATTGGTGCTTATTTGCAGGGAATTTCTGTCACCCCATACCTCTAATAATTTATTCATTTATATTCGAGCAAGGGTGGAAACCAAGAGTATCTTCAAAACCACATGGTTGATAATACTGGGGAGCACACCGTCTCCACCAAGGAAGAGACAGGGGACTCCCCTGAGAAGGTGGCTAGTTCACCAACACAGGAGCCAGATATATGGAGAAACGTGACTCAAAGAAGTAGGAGGCCCAGGGTTCGCTCTGATTGTTTAGAAATACGCAATCGCTTTGAGGTCCTTTCCCCTAGCATGGAAGACGAAGAGCAGACTCCATTTGAGGATCTCTCCCTCATTACAGTCGATCAGGTATATGAAGACGAGGAGCAAAGGCAGTCCTCTGGGAATGTCCAGGCGACCTTGGAACCGACAGCTCACAGAAGAACCCCGACCAGACCTAAGAGGAGGCGTGTAGTGGTGATAGGGGATTCCCTACTGAGGGGAACAGAAGCAGTGATCTGTGGGCCTGACAAGATGTCTCGGGAAGTGTGCTGTCTCCCCGGGGCTAAGATCCAAGATGTAACTGAACGACTGCAAGGAATCATAAAACCCACTGACAAATACCCCTTCCTCTTGGTTCATGTGGGAACCAATGACACTGCAAGCAATAGCCTCCAGAAGATCAAAAGAGATTACAAGGCTCTGGGCAGGAAATTGAAGCAATTAAATGCACAAATTGTCATCTCATCTGTCCTCCCAGTTGAACGATGTGGCCCAGGGAGAGAGGGAAAAATAGTGGAAGTGAACAACTGGCTTCGCAAATGGTGCAAACAGGAACGGTTTGGATTCTTAGATCACGGAATGCAGTTTCTTGAAGATGGACTTCTGGCAAGCGATGGGCTGCACCTCACAACGGTTGGGAGGAATGTTTTTGCAAAAAATCTCAGAAACCTCATCAGGAGGGCTTTAAACTGACTAATGTGGGGGAGGGAGACAGTGCTCCTGAAGGTAGGAGTCTATCAATTGATGAAGATGATCATCCAAATGTCATAGACCGAATGGAGCAAAGAGCATGCAGACCTAGTGGTGGGAGGAGAAAATCCTTAAATAAGAGACACGGGGGAATGATTAATGGACTTCAATGTCTGTACACTAATGCGCAAAGCATGGGAAATAAACAAGATGAGCTTGAGCTCCTGGTACAGCAAACTAAATATGACATAATAGGAATCACTGAAACCTGGTGGGATAAATCCCACGATTGGAATGTAATAATGGAGGGATACAATCTATTTCAAAGAAACAGACCAGACAAGAAAGGAGGAGGAGTGGCGTTATATGTCAGGGATGTGTATACCTGTGAAGAGATCCAAGATTTAGAACCTCAAAGCCAAAGTGAGAGCATTTGGGTCAAAATTAAGGGAGAGAAGAATAACAGTGACCTCATTGTGGGAGTTTACTATAGATCCCCAAGCCAAACGGAGGACATAGATGATGCCTTCCTGGAACAGATGGCCAAGCATGCAAAAGGAAGGGAGATAGTAGTAATGGGGGACTTCAATTACCCGGATATTTGTTGGATGCCAAACTCAGCCAAGAGCATAAGGTCAAACAGATTCCTCACTGCCCTTGCAGACAACTTCATTGTCCAGAAAGTGGGAGAAGCAACAAGAGGAACAGCCATTTTAGATCTGGTCCTAACCAATGTTGATGACCTGGTTAGTGGGGTAGAAGTGGAAGGATCATTAGGCGTGAGTGATCATGCTCTTCTGAAGTTTACTATACAGCGGAAAGGAGCAGCCAAGCATACTAGGACTCAATTTCTCAACTTTAAGAAAGCCGACTTCATAAAGCTTAGGGAAGTGCTGGGTGAGATCCCATGGACAGTAATACTAAAAGGAAAGGGAGTTCAAGATGGCTGGGAGTTTGTTAAGAGGGAGATAGTAAAAGCACAACTTCAGGCAATACCAATGAGACGGAAACATGGAAGGTGCCTAAAGAAGCCAGGGTGGCTATCTAAAGAACTTTTAACTGAGTTAAGATTAAAAAAGGATGTGTACAAAAAATGGAAAAGGGGGGAAACCACCAAAGAGGAATTCAAACAAATAGCCAGCACGTGTAGACACAAAGTCAGAAAAGCTAAAGCACAAAATGAACTCAGGCTTGCTAGAGAGGTTAAAAGCAACAAAAAAGGCTTTTATGGGTATGTTCGTAGCAAAAGGAAGAACAAAGAAACCGTGGGGTCACTCAGAGGAGAAGATGGTGAAATGCAAACAGGGGACACAGAAAGGGCTGAACTCCTCAATGCCTTCTTTGCCTCAGTCTTCTCCGATAAAGAAAACAATGCCCGACCTGAAGAATTTGGAGCAAATGATTCAGCAGAGGAAACACAGCCCAGAATAACTAAGGAGATAGTATATAAAAGGATGTCACATAGAGGAGGGAGAAAGGCTGTTTTCTGCTGCTCCAGAGAAGCGGACACGGAGCAATGGATCCAAACTACAAGAAAGAAGATTCCACCTAAACATTAGGAAGAACTTCCTGACAGTAAGAGCTGTTCGACAGTGGAATTTGCTGCCAAGGAGTGTGGTGGAGTCTCCTTCTTTGGAGGTCTTTAAGCAGAGGCTTGACAACCATATGTCAGGAGTGCTCTGATGGTGTTTCCTGCTTGGCAGGGGGTTGGACTCGATGGCCCTTGTGGTCTCTTCCAACTCTATGATTCTATGATTCTATGATAAATCAGATGGTTGTGAAATCACTGCTGAAGAAACCCCTTTTTTTGGAACCTGAGGATTTTAACAACTAATTGGCCAGTCACAGATATCCACTTCTGGGGCTGCTATGAATCTTCGGACACTACTGAATTATACCAATTATCAGGATTCATTTCAATCTAGTTTCAGGTGTGCCTTCAGCACAGAAATTAATTGCCTTGGTGTCCCAAATGGATGGCCCATATAAGGGTTCTTCTAGATTTTTCTGCAGCTTTCAATACCGTCAATCATGGTATCCTTATGGACAGGCTCTGAGGGTTGTAGTTTGATGGTGTATCAGGCAACTGATACAAAAATTCCAATTAAAAGAAAAACTAAGAGGAGAATTCTGGAGTTCAAATTTCCAGGATAATACACTTACAGTAAGCTCCTCACTGCCAATGTAAGTCCAGAGATGGTCTTAAAACTGCAGTTCTTTCCTACCTAAGCAAGCAGGGTCAAGGGTAATTTTGGTGTTGCCAGTTATCTACCACTCACAGTTCTCAAAGTAAAACTTGTGGAAATCCATTCCCTCCACGAGATTCCCCAGTGCTTCAGGTTCAAATGAGGTTAATCCAGGGTCACAGATCTTCCTGCAAAAAACAAAGTACAAAAGATCTCACTGGTATCTGAACCTACAGCCTGTGTCAATATAGACTGTTTGCAGCATGCAGTTTTGATTCAGAGGGCTGCCCAACCAGGAACAGAAAGCTGAGCTTCCTTAAGTATTATAACCTATTTTCCTGAGCCCTAAGCAATCTGAGGCTTCAAGGCTAGGCACCTGCTGCTGCTGCTGCTGCTGCTAACTTCTCATGAAGTTGGTTAGAACATGGTGCTGATAATGCCAAGGTTGCAGGTTCAATCCCCGTATGGGACAGATGCATATTCCTGCATTGCAGGGGGTTGGACTAGATGACCCTTGTGGTCCCTTCCAGCTCTACAATTATATGATTCAATAAGTAGGAGGCAGATCTTAAGGGAATGGAAGCAGTCTTCACATCTTAGGGTGAAAACACTAATTTTCAAACCATTCTCTAAAAGTTAAAAGTGCTTTTACTCTTCTCCCACATACATGCCTAATCATATTCATTATCATTCCCACATTACAGTTTACGTCAAGTGCTCTAGGATTGAACCCCAGACATTTTGCATTCCCTCCCAGCCAGCAGCTTAAAATTATTATTTACTTTCAAATTAATCAACTATCTTTTCAGAGAAGAATCTCTGTCTACGGGATGCAGAACTTAACAGCTAATAAAAAATTACTAGGTATGCTTTGTGTTGATGGGATGTTGCTGAAAGGTGGTTTCATTCTGGCGACACTTCTTGTAAACTTTTTTGAGCTTTTGACTTGTCCTAGCTCCTACCCTCTCGTAAAATGAATCAAACTGGGAGGAATCAAATCATGCCTTTCAGAAGAGAACACTCATCTCCTCCTGAACAGTTTGATGGAACACAGCTGGAATTCATATCTATACATGCCTTTGTTCCTTATCAACTTCATATAGGATGCTGGCTTTCCCCTACTTTATGACAGCCCTTTTAGCTTCCTAGAGTATGTGCCTCCAGGAAGAGTTTGCAATGCATTATGGGGGGAAAGAACACTAATCACTGACTTTAAGTTCATATGATGGGAAAATAAGCTTGCTTGCTTGTGTTTATCTATGTGCATGCTTGCACACACTCCTCCATGCAACAGAGAGTGCTTATTAGTATTCACCTCTGCATTTCTACTAAAGTAGCTGCATTTATTTATGTAAATAATAGAATCTTTGGCCCTCCAGATGTTGTTGGGACCCCAGCTCCCATCGATACCAGCCAGCATGGCCAATAGCCAAGGAAAATAAAAACTGGAGTCAACATCTAAGAGGCCACACATTCCGCACTCCCAATGTAAATGCAGATTCAGGTTCATACTTCCTTTCCTGCCTAGTTAGAACTCTTTAATTTTAAATTGTCACCTTAAGGTAAAGGATCCCTGCCCATTAGGTCCAGTCATGGCCGACTGGGGTTGCAGCGCTCATCTCGCTTTATTCGCCGAGGGAGCCGGCATAAAGCTTCCGGGTCATGTGGCCAGCATGACTAAGCCGCTTCTGGCGAACCAGAGCAGCGCACAGAAACGCCGTTTACCTTCCTGCCGGAATGCTACCTATTTATCTACTTGCACTTTGATGTGCTTTCGAACTGCTAGGTTGGCAGGAGCAGGGACCGAGCAATGGGAGCTCACCCCGTCAAGGGGATTCGAACCACCAACCTTCTGATCAGCAAGTCCTAGGCTCTGTGGTTTAACCCACAGCGCCACCCGTGTCCCTAAGTTGTCACCTTAGAGAGCATTTAAAACTGCCCATACAGCAGCAAATACACAAGCACACCTGCCATATTTACATCCTACTTTGTTCATGTGGTAAGATTCCATATAACCAAGCCATCAAACGCCAGAAACATCTTAAGTTGAGATTAAGGCCAAGTTTTCACTTAGGTGGTAAACCTGCATGTGGGCTGCGTCGACTGTAGCTGAGGGTTCACATGACAAAATACAGAAAAGTAGAATACCAGAGAGGTTAGGCAAATAACTTTCTCTCCAGCATACTAGTTTTCTGCTTGCATAGATTTGTTTGTATGAAGGAGTACTCCATTATGTGAGTTCCCACCTGCATTGTGAAGTGGTACAGCCCAGCAGAAATTTACTTAAAGGTAAAGGTACCCCTGCCCGTACGGGCCAGTCGTGTCCGACTCTAGGGTTGTGTGCCCATTTCACTTAAGAGGCTGGGGGCCAGCACTGTCCGGAGACACTTCCGGGTCATGTGGCCAGCGTGACGAAGCTGCTCTGGCGAGCCAGCACAAGCGCAGCACACGGAAACGCCGTTTACCTTCCCGCTAGAAAGCGGTACCTATTTATCTACCTGCACTTAGGGGTGCTTTCGAACTGCTAGGTGGGCAGGAGCTGGGACCGAAAGACGGGAGCTCACCCCGCCGCAGGGATTTGAACCACCGACCATGCGATTGGCAAGTCCTAGGCACTGAGGTTTTACCCACAGTGCCACCCGCGTCCCTCGAAATTTACTTAGCCTGACATTAATTGCTTCATGTTATTCCTAGATTCACACCAACAAATGTAATCCTCATTGCCTCTATCAAACCACAGCAACTAGAAAGACTTGCTACTGCCCTCCCTCATAAGCAACACAGGTACTGGGATGATTGATAAACACTTGACTATTGAAATTCATTTATTTTTAATATGACTTAATTAATAAATATAATGGACCAAAACTGTACGTGTATCAGACTATTTATATTTACCATATTTTTTGCTCTATAGAACACACTTTTTTCCTCCTAAAAAGTAAGGGGAAATGTGTGCCTCTTATGGAGCGAATGCAGGCTGTGCAGCTATTGCTGAAGCAAGCAGAGTAAGAGCAATAGCTGTGCAGCGGCTCTTGCTCTGCTGGCTTCCCAGCGAAGCGGGAATAGGAACAGAAGGGAGCCCTTATGGAGAGTAAGAGCGATAGCTGTGCAGCGGCTCTTGCTCTGCTGGCTTCAGCGATAGCTGCACAGCTTCCTCTGGCTTTTCAGGGACGTGGGAGAAGGGATGGAGGGCAGCGCGCCAGTCCCTTCTCCCACCTCCTGGAAAAGCCAGCAAGAGCCGCTCTATCTTTAAAGAGCCGCACCGAGCAAGCGTGTCTGGCTTTTCTTGTTTTCCTCCTCTAAAAACTAAAGGTGTGTCTTATGGTCGGGTGTGTCTTATAGAGCGAAAAATACGGTAGGATTTTGCTATTTTCTACTCCCCTTCTCCACCCCACCACCCCATGGTTATGTCTTCTTTGACCCAAATGATCTGGCTTCGAATGGCCAATTGAACAGCAGGCCCCCGCCCTGTGTTTCTCCACTTACGTGTATGCCTCGAAGTCCCCATTGTTGATTGCCTCAATCAGCTGCTCCGTTATCTTTATGATCTCTTGTTTACGCACTGGAGAAGGGAATAAAAAAAAGAGGCAGCTTTACGGCACATGGGAGCTGGGACAAAACATACGGCAAGCAAGTGCTCCCTTCCGGAGATTCAACAGAGCAGTGTTCGCAGCGGTGGTTGCTCTCTTGAATTCCAGAACAGCAGTAATGACAGCTACATATTGGAAGGAATGGAGTCTGGAAGATGGAAGGAATGCAGGGAGAAGGGAGAAGGCGGCAGTTCGAACAGCAGCACTGCTACGCCAAGAAAAGGCTCGGCTCTAACAATCTGTGCAGGATTTATGTGGAGAGCACCAAGGATCAGACTACCGTCACATTTCCATTACACTGTTTCTAAGGTGGAAAGACCCACTGCATCATTTAAATCTGAGGTGTAGATATGAAGAGAGAGGGGTCTACTGCAGGCATGATGATTCTGACCTCAATCATGGTTACAGCAATGGCAGCAGGGCCAGGAGCTCAGGTGCTCCCTCTGCCTCTTGAGCAACTTTCCTCTCAATTTTCCGTCCCTTATTGCGTGCCCACTGTCACAAAGGGTACTTAATGCAAAACATGGCTCCCTCGTAAACCTAGGAGTGGAACCATGCTTTGAATTGGGCGTGCAAACCATCGTTTCCAATGAACCTGGTTTGCGTTCACTGTAATTTGCACTGGCACATACAGAGAATACCAAGCCACTGCTAAAAGATGAGAAGGAAAGAATGTGAGAGTCATTCCAGAGGGAGCTCAGGGAAGGAAAGGGTGCCTGCACTGGAGGTTTACAAACGGCATTATATTTGCATTGGGGCACAGAAGTCCCTCATTTCTTTGAACTGTGGGCTCCAGTTCCATAGATCCCCAAAGAGAGGAACAAAAGGATGACACATTGACAGGTCTACAGAAACTGCCTATAAATGCCTGTTTGATGGCTTAAGCCACCCTTTGCCAACCTAGTGCCCTTCAGATGTTCCGGACAAAGACTCCCACCAGCACAGGATCCAAAACAGCTCCTGAGAGCCTTCCTGTATCAAGATCTTGTGCCCATGAAAGATTCCTAGCTCTAGTATCACCTTCCTCTTTCACCTGACCACCTCTCAGGATACAAACCACCCATCCATTTGTTAGCCTGAGCCACCTTATTCACATCTGCTCCTACTGTGTAATTATATTGGATTATGCCTTACTGTACCACTATTAAATACTGCTACACACACTATTTGTAGGAACGATTCTGGCACAATGGAACCTATTCTAGCCGTACAATCAGCCACAGCTCCTGTGGTCTCACTAGGAACTGTGAACCATCAGGTTGAATGAAGACCACCAGCCATGTATTGTAGCTTGCCAGGAATTTTGCACACAACTTTGTGGGGTTTTTTCAGTCTGCATCATGCACTGATATATGCTGTTTTGTAAGTGGGTGCAATAACATGTTTTTCAATTCAGGTAGGTAGCTGTGTTGGTCTGATGCAGTCAAAAAATTTTTTAAATCGTCCAATAGCACCTTAAGATACCAAGTAAGTTTGTTCATGCGCACACACACTTCTTCAGATAATGTTTTTCAATGTTTAGGGGGATTTTTTTTTTTAGGCTCCAAGTCTGAGCTTGTTCCAAAATGGCCATATGTACAGCAGAATGCCCCTGGGACCTGGCTTTCAAATGTACACTGTCTCTGTATATTAATACCTGTATAAGAGATGTTTCCATGGGCATAGTGGTAAGAGTTGCCCAACAAGAGCTGGTGGGAGTAGAGGTGTCCCCAATTTTTAGAGGCACTGAGGCACCGCAGACAGGCAACAGTATCTGCTTCTCCTTTAATCCAATTCAATAAAAACAAAGCTGAGCAAGTTCTAAGAACTGAACCAACTGCAGGCCTTGAATGCATAGAGATATGCTACCTGAATGGAAAAGAACACTGCCTTTCTCTGTTATTAGACATTTCCATGAGTGTGATTGCCCTTGGCCCTTGTTTTGGTCAAAAGAGATAGAGCTCAAAACTTAATTTGATACTGTCTATACTTCCACCGAATTCAAAATTCACTCAGTTGTTGCACACATAAATTACAGAAGTGTGACAGCAGAAAAGCTCTTGTTGGAACCATACGGGAACAGGACAAGAGGTAGTTTCTAGGATTCAGGTCTGAGCTGAATCTGTTGGCGCAAGGCACCACACATTGGAAGTCACTGGCTGCTGTTCATAAGAGTGTTTCATCTACACAGGTAAGACATATAGTCACTAAGCTTCCCTGGAGTCCTTTGAGATAAAGGGCAGGGCAGAAATGAATGAATGAATGAATAGCCAATAACAGCAACAAGACCTCTGTAAAGTGGGACGAACCAGTTCATACCCCATCTATCAATGTTTTTATTTCCCAGAGCAGAAAGAACAGCTCTATCTATCAGCAAGGCCATCAATGACTTCACATGCCTTATGAACTTTCTGTATGGATGCTACTGTTACTAGTCTTAAGTGATTATGACGGGACCTATTTTTTTCACATTTACAAGTGAAATGCTGTCCCAACAACAGGGGGAGCATATGGATGTGCTGAGGTGGCCTGTGCATCACATGGAGAGATGCAGTGTACATTTTGAACCTTCACCTCCTGCTGCATCCTCCAAAAAAAGGAGCAAAAGGCAGCTCTATTTTGTCTCCCTTCAGTGCCCCAGCTGCACAGATTGCAGGTGGCAAAATCAGAGAGAAGACACCCCAGGAATTACCACATTGGCATTTTCCATGCAGAAATGGTTTGGAAGCACATGGAAGCCATTCTCAGACCCTCAACATCATACATGCAAGCTGCTGAACCATTTCCCTCCAGCGATGCTTGGATTTCACCTGGAAGTAGCACACTTGCCTTCCAGTCCTCTACCGTGGTGAATGCTTAGGAATTGCAGCTACATAACAAGAAGTGTTGGATGGTGTATGAATATACAAATACACTCCATGCCAGGCCCAACCACAACACTGTCTACACTGACTGAGAATGGATCTCTAAGGTTTCAGAGTCTTTCCCATCACTGATGCCAGAAAACTTTTTCAGGGGAGCCATTAGGATTGTTTTACATGCAGAACGTTATGATCTACCACCAAGTAATGCCACCTTACCCTATCAACATACAGGAATTGAGGCTACAGAGCAAGGAGAGCTGGATGATATCAAAATACTGGTATTTCTCTAAACATCCACACAGCAATCTCCAATGCATTAAAACTGTGGAAGTGGATGGAATGGTGACAGATGGCATATCTATGGTACGGATTTATTTATTCCGAGTTCGGAGCTTTGCTAAGGCTGGAAACTTTAGATGGAGTAACTTTTTTTGCTTTTTTGTCGGCAGTTGCAGCTTGAGAATTGTGTTTGGTGTTTGGGGCTGATGTTTTCATGTGCCTAACGGAGGTCTGAACTGGGGCTTCTTGCTCCTAGCTAGCCATTTCAGGAGAAAGAAGTAATTCAAAGAGGGGGAGTGAGGGAGAGGAATATATATTTTGGAAAAATGAGAGATAAAGGTTCAGAAAAGGTAGAGAAGTAAGGAGGCTAAGTACTAGGTTGATTATTTTTTTCTACTCCTGCTACTACAAAGCTAACTTACATGGCGGATTGTTAAGTGCAAATGGAACTACAGGAGTTAGAACAGGCTCCGACTGAGCGCGATCCAACTCCACAGTTTGCCCTGGGCTGTCCCAGGCAAGTAGTTTCTCTTCACAAGATTGTGTAGTGGTAGCTGCAAAACAAATGCAAGCACATTAAAACAAAAATAAAAACCAGAAAACAAAATAAGGACTGCATTGAACACACACACACACACACACACACACAACCCCAGAGGCAGCAATGCCACCAACTTCTGCAATGCAAACCAAGTGGGGCAACCGGATCCCTACAAAGAGATTCAGTCTTTCAAAACAGCAACTAAGAAACACAGTAAGATTTGAGAAAGGAGAAGGTGAAGTGATCTAAACTCCAAATCATAAGAGCAACAGAGAAAGCACAGAAGCCGGGTTCCCTTGCCTCCGCCTGAGTCGGGTTTCTACATGACCCTAACACGCCTCATTGTGGTTCTACTTTACAGGAGGGGGACAAAGGCTTTGCAACGGTTTGGAATGGAAAACGATGTCTCCTTTTGTCAACAAATGTTCATTCCAACTAGGCAATGCTGAATCCCATCCTCCAAATACTTTCTCACCAAACCTATCGGTTTTGGAAGAGTGTATTGTCTGGAGAGGAGATAAAGATCACCTCCATATCGGCTTTGAATTGCAAATGTAAAAAACAAAAATCATGCTGCTTCGTTAGCTGTTCCCTATCACTATCCTCCCATGCGCCTGCTCTTAATGCCCACGTTCAGCTTCATGCACACATATGGCTCACGGAAACAAAACGACTTAAGACAAAATTTTGCAAGTTGTTATCTCATTACACAAGTGGGCTGTTTTAAAACAGCATGCACCCAGTCCTGGTTTTAGAGTAAAATATGAGCCGAGATGCTAGAGCTGAATGGAGTGTTTCAACTCTAAAAACCAAGGGCACTAACAAAGAAGTCTCTGAAGGATTGATAGCAGATAATTTCAGGTGAACAAGAAAAGAGTAGGGAAAAGGGTGCAGGGTTTTCAAATCTGTTTTTTTACTAGATAGGGGCTGAATTTGCTTGTGTTTCCAATTCCCTAATGAAGTGTGCCTCTTCAATGAGGGAGAACCTGAAGTCAAATTGCAAGTGTTTCTCATGCGGTCCCTATGCAGGATCATAACCACAGCTCTGACACATCTCTGCAAAAGTTCCCCAAGAAGGATAGTGAGGAATCTAGACAGCGATACTATCCCCGAGTTGTTGCTGCTGGACAGAGAAAATATATCAGAAATGGGTTTTTGAGTTCTGGTTTTTCTGTGTGTGCAAGTGATGTGCATGGGTTCACACAACTGCAGTTTAAGTCTTCTGATTTTAATTGCTATACCAATGATTTCCTTCCACACCGGTGGGCAATCCTTCGTAGAAGGTTTCGTGCTGTGTGCTGTGGTCCCTCCCCCACCCATTTCCCATGACACTTGTGAAGATGGTGCGCTGTGTTGGTTTGCTCCGTGTGTAAAAGCTGGAAGACCCCAGCCAATCAGGAGTTCCTGTTTACATCTGCAATCACCACTTGTGGCACGAAACACCTTATCTCATGCTTATCCCTGCACCAATGTAGGGAAAGGATATTGTGTCCATAAGAGCTGTAACCTAACAAACTTTTTGGTAGAAGCCTTCCCGGCCAGCAAGGATTTCGGTTTACTGAATATTTCTGAATGCTGGTGCCGAATTAAACCTCTGCCCTACAATGGCTGATTAACATTCTACAGCCTTTTAAATGCGTCTGCGGGAAGGTAGGGTTTTCGTTTTGCTGTTTCGTATTAAATTATTTACTTGTTTTTATCCCGTATTTTATTCTGTGAACCACCATGAGATCTTACGATGAAGGGCGGTACATAAATCTAATAAATACGATAATAAGATACATATATACCCCCAAACCAAGTGTCATGCCAAAGAATACACATCAATAAGCACTTTTTTAAATGATCGCAAAGGAAGTATATGGTATCTGGCTAAGGAAAAGAGGATATGAAATTAGCTAGATCATGGTTTCATTTTATTGTGGCAGGGGGAGGGAAAGGAGTTTCTCTGGAAAGTGTTACATGAGCAGAAATGGTTCCGGGCTGGGGTGGGGTGGGGATGAGATGAATCATATTGAAAATATGAAGTGTTGGAAATGAGAGTCAATATTCTGGAAGAATATTGCAGAAGCTGAAGAAGACAGAGAAATGGGAGAAGAGAGAGTCACAGTAGGGAAAGGAATGCTATGGAGGACTGTAAACCCTGGACTTACTGGCTGAGTAACAGAGAGAAAGCTGGGACTGCATGGACTCAGTCTGGGTTTTGCTCTCACAGTGACTCCGTCCTTCGAGCACTGAGCTGCCATCCCCGATGGAGAGAGGGGGCGCTTGCATGGCCAAGGATGCAAAACACACACACACAAAACATACACACACAAATAACAAAACAAAATAAAAAAAACAATGTACATTCAGTTAAAAAAAAAAAGATAATGGAACAGGACAAAACAAGTACAACACTCATTACAAAAAAATATTGCTGGTGAATCCTGCCAAGACATGGCGTTATCAGGTATCGTGCACAGCTAAGGGCAGAGCTGGTTGCTTCTCCCTACACCTGTTCATATAGCTAACACTGAAGCTGCCAACTGCGTGAGTCTGTTTATGATTTTTTTCCATGTTTACCTGCACGAATCCACTATCCACCACAAAGCTCATCTATAAACTACACTCACGTAGCAATGGCGGATAAGTGGCTCAGCTCTGGCAGAAGAGTGGATTGTGAAAAGGCACTCTGGCAAAGAGCAGCTCATCATGAGGAAAGCAGATGCGTGAGAGAATGGGAAAGAAATGACAACGGTGGAGTAATTATCCTTTCAAGGGACTAGACGGCGGAATCAGAGCTTGGTTCATTCAATGGAGCATACAGTGGCTTCTCTTGAAAGGAATTTATCAAAAGCTCCCACATGCAATTTCTCTTGCAACTCATATCTTTGTTTTAGCTTTGCACACACACTTCAGAATTACAAGATGCTCTTAAGAGGGCACTTCCTATACTGATGTTTACAATATACTGGCACATATGGGATTTGAAACCGATATGCTAGGTTAGGCCATTTGCCCATGTAGCCCAGTACTGTTAGACTCTGACTGGCAACAGCTCCCCAAAGACCCCGGTGCTCATGCCAAGGACTGATCCTAGGATTTGGTGCGCAGAAAGTATGTGTTCTATAACTGAGCTATGGGGCTCTCACTTCAGAGCACATACTGATGCTCTTTTTACCACGACACCACTCCTTATTAAAGCATGCACATCTGAGTATTAGCTTTGCCTACAGGCAAAAACAGCTAATGCTCTTGACAAAAAATATTCTGTGTTATGAGCACTCTTGCTCTCTTAGGAGCCCATTTCCTTGAGCAGAGTGTGGATACTCTCACGTACCAGGTCTGTGACCAGTTTCTGTGCCACTAGGCTAAGTTTTGTTGGTATTCCAACAAAGGAGCGGGAAGTAGCACATACTTGCTATGGTGGTCCATTCATAGATGCTGGCCGTCCACATCTCTTTGTTTCCCTCTGGCACTTTTCAGGTGGCTAGATTTAGGTTAGGCTCCCCCAAGTTGCTAACACTACACTCAGGGAAGCAGGTCCAATTAATGGCTGAAGGCTGATAGATCAACTAACCAAGGCAAGGGGACATTTCACAACGGCATTCTCAAAGGGATCTGTGCATGTAGAAACCTCAAATCCTTTTCTGGATCTGTCATCCAGAAATTATGGCTACTGCAACGATGCAGTCTTGTGGCGCTGCTGACCTAAATTATGAGACTCGTTCATATGGTCTGTTGACCTATAAAAGACCATATGGATCAAGATCTAGGTACGGTAAAGCTAAAGGACCCCTGGACAGTTAAGCCCAGTCAAAGGTGACTATGGGGTTGTGGTGCTGGTCTTGCTTTTCAGGCTGAGGGAGCTGGCGTTTGTCTGCAGACAGCTTTCCGGGTCATGTGGCCAGCATGACTAAACCGCTTCTGGCGCAACGGGAAACTGTGACGGAAACCAGAGTGCACGGAAATGCCGTTTACCTTCCAGCCACAGTGGTACCTATTTATCTACTTGCACTGGCGTGCTTTTGAACTGCTAGGTTGGCAGAAGCTGGGACAGAGCAACGGGAGCTCACCCCATCGTGTGGATTCCGATCTAGGTGTACAGGTAGAGGCAGAGTTATGTAAGAACTATAAATTGGGGTAAATCCTTTGAGAAAACCCTACTGACCAGCAAATAACTTCTGCCTGCTCAGCTTAAGCCTGCATTCAGGTTAGGAGGGATATGCCATCACAGCAGTGTCTTCCCCGACCTATAACCCCCAGGATCACGATAACTGGCCATGCTGGCAGGGACTGATGGGAGACTTACTAAATATGCCAGTTGTCCAACATCTGGGGACTGAAGGTTGGGGAAGAATGTGGTATTGTGGCCCCCTAATTCTGAGTGTTAGGATGGGACGTGGGTGGCACTGTGGGTAAAAGCCTCAGCGCCTAGGGCTTGCCGATCGAAAGGTCGGCGGTTTGAATCCCCGCGCAGGGTGCGCTCCCGTTGCTCGGTCCCAGCGCCTGCCAACCTAGCAGTTCGAAAGCACCCTCGGGGACCGCTTACTGGCGGGAAGGTAAACGGCGTTTCCGTGTGCTGCGCTGGCTCGCCAGATGCAGCTTTGTCACGCTGGCCACGTGACCCGGAAGTGTCTCCGGACAGCACTGGCCCCCGGCCTCTTAAGTGAGATGGACGCACAACCCTAGAGTCTGTCAAGACTGGCCCGTACGGGCAGGGGTACCTTTACCTTTAATTCTGAGTGTTACTCCTGCACAGCAGCTAGGTCAGGCAGGCAGGCAGGCGTGAATACAAGACTTTCTCCCAGGCAAATATCTCTCACAAAGAGAATGCAAAGAGCATCCTCCCTCCCAACCAAATGGTGAGCCATCTGTGATCGGGCCCAATTTCACACAAGTGTTCTGATGAGCTGAAGAGAATGCAAGTTGGTTCCTTACGTATTTTTGGCCGGTGGGACTAGTCTACAAATAGCTCCTTGCACTTGCGCTAGGAGTGGTGTTATAGCAGTCCACATCCCCAAACTTCCAGGATTAGGTGAAATCTCAAAAGCTTTTAAGAAGGCAGAGAATCGCACATGCCTTCCTTAGACAACAGGAAGTCCTTCAGCTAGCAAAATCCTTATAGCAGGCAGCCTACAGCCTCACTACCCTTACTCCTCCAACTACAACTAGGGGAGGGGAACACAGACCAATTGCATCAACAGGTAAGGAGCCTGGCATGGAAAACTGCTCTGTCTCTGCCAGTGGGTCTGAGCTATCTTGCCCGCTTGCAGCCAAGGAACCTACCCTTCAGGTCTTCATCTTCAGTGGTAGTATTACAGCTCTCCGTGGAACCCTGCAGAAAAGAAGATTGGTAGATGGAAGTATTGAAACATGCATGACGAGGGGGCTTTATAGACGGCGAGATTTCTATATAAATGGGAAACCTACCAAAGAAATGGAATTTAAAGGAGAAATGGGGAAACATGCACATCCCTTGGTTCGCAGGGCAACAAATCAGCGCTTTTCTATGCAACAAATCTTCTGCCACGTGTGATCTTTCTGAGTTTGAAAATTAAATTCTTATTTCTCCACACTATTCAAAAGGTATAATTTCAAATATTTATGGTTTTTTTGCTCAAATAGGAACCCGGACAACCAAGGAGGTGTAAGAATGCCCTGCAACACATATTTGGAATGGGACATAAAGGAAGATACTCGGCTAGTAATATTGGGGGTGGATGAGCACTCCTTTTCATAATATAAAGAAGTGTCATTAAAGTATAGGGCTCAAGTAGTACATGACTCCTGGAAGACTCTTGTATATAAATGCATCTGGAAACCCAAGCTGCTAGAGGGAATGTTCAGAAAAATGGGTCATGCCTCCAATTTATGGTAGTTTTTTGGGCACCTGCTATAAACATTCCTGTTTAGATAAGCCTACCCAGATGCTTAAGACAGTTGGGGTAATTTTGATCTGTTTTGTATGCTTTAAAGCAGGGTTGAAATTTTTCTTGTTTTTACTGCTTTATCTTTTGTAAACCGCTTTGAGGTGTTTTTGTTGTTGTTTTTAAACAACCAAGCAGTGTATAAATATTACGAAATAAATCAAATTAGCAAATAAACAAAATGTTTCCAAGACTGATGGAAGGCACTCTTTATGATTCTTTAAAGGGCTTAAATAGTAAAACAGAGTGTCACAGGTCCCTACATTGCAGGGGGTTGGACTAGATGATTCTTGGGGGTCCCTTACAATTCTACGATTCTATGACAGGTGTCTCCTCTCATATGACCCTTCAGATTCTGACCTTTACCAGGGGAAACCCTGCCATAGATATTTTATTTTTTAAGAGGTAGAATTTAGTGGTGCCTGGGCCAGGGCTTTGATGTGGCACCACAAATCTGGCCATATTTGAAAGAGGAAGAGGTTCCGGAAATTAAGATGAGGTAGCAGGACAATGGCCAGGAACAAGGGCAACAAAATGCTGCAACTACATATTGTGAAAGCCATAGGGGTATCACACAAACCACAACTCGATGGTGAATTGAGTTCCCTAGCTCTCTCCAGAATTTGTAGCAAAAGCTTATGTTGTGCATATCCTCAAACCCACACACTCCACATTGGTTGCCAGTGGTGAGAGGGAATGCAAAGATCTCGGGGCGCAAGGTTAGGTTTCCTAGGCATTAACAGAAACTGGGAGAGATATCAGTTATGAGACTGCTTGTCTGGATGCTTTCTCTTAGACTCGGTTTTGGGGGACAGTGAAAAGGGTGTTTGGGACTAACACAAGTCCTTTGTGATCTGTCACTTACCTTTATGCCATCATTAGCATTGTGCACAACAGTAGTTTGTGGTTCCTAATTGAAAGAGGACAGAAATACAAGTATCAGATGTCAGCTCCAAAACTTTTCTCCCTCCGTGTTGTGCCTGTTGGGAGAGCAAAGTGACAAGACCAAAGCACAAACACCTCTATCCTAAAACAGTGTAAGTACATCCCATCCCCTCCACTTTAAAGGGCCACTCAAGAGTTTTGGAAGAGAAATATCCAATTGTAATAGATAAACTTACAAGGAGACAAAGCCATACAGGCCTCTCTATATCCCAATTTTGCTTGTGAACTTTCTTCGGCCTGGAAGATTTCCAGCAGTGCTCAAGAATTAGTGACCCACGGAGGGTACCGTTTATATATTACTTTTAAAAGCCAACATTAACATTTCACCCAGATCAGAGAGGAGAAGCAGGGCTTTGTCTCCATGTTTCCCCCACAAATGTCTCTGGAAGGACATTCACAATTTCCCCACCAAAATGGCAGCCAAAGCTCCACAGCAAAGAACTGCCCGAGTAGGTAAGTTGCAAAGTCCCACAATTGGTTGAACTGAGGTTTCCAAAATGAGACATTTTCAACAAAAAGAGGAGGGGAGAAGCTGAGCGTCACAAGAGCAGCATTTAAAAAGCCAACGCATGGTGAGGTACAGTGAGTAAAGGACAGGGTTAAAAATTACGAAACAACCCAAGGGGGAAGGGGGAACCTCTCTGAAGCATTACACGGAGTAGGGAGCAACTATCCAGTCTCTTAAGACTCCTAACTTGCAGTCATTCCTGTATTCTTTTTGAGAAACTTGCCCAGTTCTGTTCTATGACAGTATCACAATGCCCACAATGTTCATCCGTTTCTGTGGCCCACAGCCTACTTCCAAGTCTTTAAAAGAAGGGCCAGCGTGGGCATTGGTTGAGCTGTCAAAAACACAGGAATGTGTGGCCCCGCTGCAAGCGTGTTAATCGGGAAGAGTGAAAAACCCGGTGCAAGTAAGACAAGGGCAGAGGTTTCCAATTCCTTCATTCTTTGGAGACTGGATGTGTTGACCACTCCATCATGGCCTCCTTGAGGTCAAATTATATCAGGACAAGCTGCAGGCCTCACACACAGACACCACAGCGCTTCTGCACCTCTCACTTGCAAGGGAGCTTGGGATAAGAGCCGGGGGCAAGAGATTGCAGACAGAATTAAGCAGAAACACGGAGCAGCAACAGGCAGCATTCTGGGCAAGGGTAAGAACCAAAAGTAAAAACCAAAGAAGGGCAGATAAACGGTTGGGAAAGATACCATGGACATCTGCACTGGGGCTGATTCTTTTGCTGGGCTTACTACACTGGCTTTGTTGTTGGTCTGCGGCTAAGACAGAAAAACAGATGGTTTAGTTTCCCCCCCACCCTGCTGGGCAACAGTCATCAAAAACATTACATTGCTATTGCTGCAAACAAGACATTTCAGCTCAGTCCCTTCCCAAAGTCACCTGTGGAGGGGAAGGGAAACAGGAGAAGGTGTAGTGGAACAGGTCGTGCCTGGTTTGCCATCTTCCGTGGCAAAGATGCACCCAGATACCCACGGAAGATTAAATAGGATAGGGAAAAGAACGAGATGGGTATAGATGGGTTAGTCCAAAAGCAAAGTGGCAAGGAACTTAAGGGAAGATGAGTAGCCTAAATAGGAGTGTTAACGTAGCCAAGGGATGGAGGAGATAGAAGGGAACACATTCAGATGAACTGCAGTATGTTGGATGGAACAACCTGGTGGCTGGTCACATTCAGAAACCTTGTGGCTGGAGCAGAAGGAAGGAAGATATTCATGACTAATCCCTCAGTGGGCCAGAGAAACCAATGTGTTCAACGACCTTCCCAGCATTCCACTTAAGTTTTTGATGTTGGACTCACGTTCACACAAACCTAGTTCACTAAAATATCCTGACTTTATGTCCTTCCTTCCTTTCCTGCAGTTCTGGATCCTAGCATTAGAAATGGCAAGGGCTGGTTGACTCGTACGCCTCTCTCAAAGAGCGGAAGACTCCCAGCCCAATTATTTCCCAGTGTGAGCAATCCTGCTCGAATTCAGGTAAGCCAGAAATGTACAGGTTGTGGTCCAGATGCATGTTTTGCAAGAAGCAGGCAAACCTGGATGCTTGTTCTCCTTGGCGATGCACAGCAGAGGCCAGCCCAACCCTTTCCTGGCTGCCAAATAGCAGACTGAGAAAGGAGCAGGTAAGATGAACTAGTCGAATGACTATCCTACTAGGGGAGTCACTGTCAAGCTGAAACTTATTTAGTCTGTAATATCCACAGCGAAGTCATTTGGAAAGCTGAGAGGAGACCACTGGAAGTTGTGCATTTTCTAGTTCACAATGCATTGCACTGGCCCAGAGCATAGTCTGAAGGTACATGATGCAATTCTGCCGCTGAAACTAAAAGCAAATCTGGTCCTGGTTGGGAGATTGCCTAGGAAGCATATGAAAGCCACTCTGGGCTCTTTAGAAAAAGTGTAATAAATACATGATAAAATAATGGGAGAGGCAGATACCCTTTGGCAAAACGGAGCTATACTGACACAGAAATATCTTATTAACCTGCTCTATCAAGCACCTTCGCCACAATAGCACCATGGTTGCTCCACTATTATACAGTTCAACTGGTACCAAGCCCCCCCCCCCCAATTTATAGTAGTTCCATATGCACTAACACATCAATTTGCAATATGAGTTAGGAAAACCACAGTGTTTCATGGTGGCCAACCATGCAATTTTCAGATATTCAGAAGGAGTGTCAAGGATCACCTGTAAGGATAGCAGATACGTCTATAGGGAGAGGTCAACAGAAAATTACACAAAGAAAGTTGGGGAGATTTTTGTAACCTGGGATAACCCACAACTCATTTATTTACTTGACAGGGATTGGCCGACACAGTGTGCCCTCTTCAAATATAAACTCCAAGGCATTGGAGATGCCTCTACATCATACAATGCCACTTTGCTGTGTGTGAGAGAGGAAATCAAGCAACCATGTGGGAGAGTACCCCACCAAGATGAGGACAGGGTGGGGAAAGACCCTTCCAATTAATTAGTCCTGCCAACATGGTTCCTTGAGCCCCCCTCTCTCACACACACACACTCTCTCACTGCACCAGTGTGGCACTGCATCAAGGGAATGTGGCTCTAACACTGCCAAGTGCAAGTGATGAGTTGGGTAGGTGCAAGAAGTACAAGCTGAACGCAAACCCTGTAAATAACCCCACACAAATATCAGCTTCGTGGAAACAACGAACTTTAACCATGACCACTCTGTAGCATGTGTAAGCAGTGCTTTCCAGAATTCTGCTCTGTTAAAATTATGCCCAGGACACACTCATCGGCAGGCTTCCTTAACCCACGTATTGAAACTGTTCGCTATGCTATGTGGGCTCGAGATTTTCAGGTTCTAAAAGGTCCATGAGATCTTTGAATCCCTCCCCAGGGAGGTCAAGAGATGCCTCCACGTTGGAAGGGGAGATGGTATCCCTGTCCCAGATCCCCTCGTGGCTGCAACCCTACACGGGGAAACAGTTCTGCTTTGCTTAACCCAGTTCTCGATTTCTCCCCCATAACCCATGACAAAAAGAGGAAGACAAAGCAAGTGTAAAACTGGGTTTCAAAATAGGTTCATTTGCACCAGCTAGGCCCTTCAAGATGGAAATTAAAAAGAGAAAGTAACACGTGTGTTTCTGTACCTTCCACCACAGGGGACAATGTGCACATCACGGCAGATATAACGGTTACAAATAAAACCAGTAGCAAACGTTCTTGCTGCCTCATCACTTTTCATAAAAACACAAGTTTTTGTGAATGAAGACTTGATTCTCGCACTTAGAATCCTGCTGGTTTTCTTCCTAGCTATGCTGCAAGCACCCCTCTCACTCTCTTTTCTTTAAGAATTCTGGTATTTAACGTGGGATAGGTCCCAAACAAAGATTTTTTTAAATAAATAAATAGGTAAATAAATATATTCATGGGGGGGGGGGACCCACTCTGCTCCTATTGAAGATTATTTTTAATACTTTAAAACAGGAGTGGAGAACCTAAGGTCCTGTGAGGCAGGGAATGAAGTCCACTGGGCTTCTCTGGACTCTCCCCAGGGCAAACCCTTTATCCACTGCCCTCTCTGCCCTCTGGGTAGAGGGATGCATTTATTATGGGGGTTCAGAAGCCTTTCACATCTGACTGACTGGCTGGAACACAGCCTACTATACAAAAAGGTAATACACCCATCCGTTGCTTCCACTATTTGTTGCTTCTGGCTCCACCTGAAAAGGTCTCAAGCTGGGAAACCCAACCCTGTTTTATAATGAAGAACCGCACCCCAACAAAGTAATCCCAAAATCTCATTAAGCAATGGTGTGGCCAAGAAAAGCACTCACCATATGCACCTTGTGGTGTCTTTGCCACATCTTTGACTCTCACAAAGGGATGCAGAAGGGAACGTCTCTTGAGCTACCTAACATTGCAACCTTATGCATGTTTACTTGAAAGTAAGCTCCGCTGTGTTCAGCGAGGCTTACTCCCAGGTTAGTGCGCTTAGGATTGTGCTGAATGCATTGGAAATCAGTAGTAGCAGTATTCCAAATCAGAGAGTGAAGACAGGTCAAATACATACACAGAGGTTACACAGAGAATTCACAAAAGAAAGTGGACCTTCACATTAAACCTGCTATTAACAGACACGGGAGAGGGCAGCTAGCTGTCTGCCTTGACAGCAACTAGCATACACAACTGAAATAGTGGTAGGCAGGCAAAGTGTTCGTTCATATGCTGATTTACCATCTCCCCAATGCAGCAACTGCAAACGCAGAAGCTGGGCCCTGCTGATAATGAGCAAGGCGGAAGAGAGTGGTTTCCTATAGAGAACATGACCTTGAGAGCGTTTAGCCCACACATGGAGGGAAACTGTGGTCCAGTTATCACGATATACAGAATTTTAATTTTGCTGTTACAGAGGGCAGGGGCCACTAGGAACAATGTCCACCTCCTGTTCTTGTGTCATCTGAAATACTAACTAAGGGGTTCAGGAGGTATAAGCAAGCTGTCACCTTGCATCAAGGCCATTTGTTCCTATGGTGTACTTGCATTGATGCTTTACCATGAACTTCTCCAGCTGAGCATTCAATGGCGACATGGCCAGCTCTGCTGCTGGTACTTTATAGTAGCAAGCAAAAAACCTGTTGATGAAGAGACCACCTGGATTCTCCAGGAGTCATCCTGCTGTGTCAGATGCCTAGGCTATCACCAGATATCCCACCTTGATTAAGAATAGGCTAAGTACTGTCCAGGCTAATGAGGCGACTGGGAGCAAGTACATGTGTCTTGTTTTGGAATGATAACAAAACCCTTAGGCCAAATGGTCAGGATCTCCCTGCCAAATGTAGAAAGCCTCACTCGGCAGAAAGTTAACATTGAGGCCAACCACTAGTCTACTGACTCCAATGAGTGTTACTCTAGCTGGTAATCTCTGTTGGGGGGGGGGGAGCATGGAGCAGCATCCTCTTGTGCACCTTGGAAAATAGCTAGGACCATTCTGCTAGGCAGGTTGTGATGCTGCTTCTTCCTTGCCCTGGAACTGGGTGGTGGTGGTGGTGATGGTACAGTTGGGATCAACACTCATCAGTGTTGGTGCTAACCTTTAAAGTCCTAAACGGCCTCGGCTCAGTATACCTGAAGGAGCATCTCCACCCCCATCGTTCAGCCCACCCACTGAGGTCCTCCTCCAAGGGTCTTCTGCTGGTTCCCTCACTGCAAGAAGCAAAGTTACAGGGAACCAGGCAGAGGGCCTTCTCGGTAGTGGTGCCCACCCTGTGGATCTGACTTTTAGAAGACATCTGAAGGCAGCCCTGTTTAGGGAAGTTTTTAATGTTTGATGCTTTATTATGTTTTATATATTCTGTAAGCCACCCAGAGTGGCTGGGGAAACCCAGCTAGATGGGCGGGGTATAAATAATAAAATCATCATCATCATGGCACATTCAGCAGGTACTGCAATGCGACAGACTATAACACTGCCCTCTTTCTGCCTCATGGTTGATCTTTCTCTGTGTTATATGTTGCTCTGAGTTATGCGCAGCTTTGGTCCTGAAGGTAAAATCTTGGCTGGAAGTGTAGCAGCAGTACTTAAAATCCCCCCCCCTCCTTGTAAGCTGACTTTCATTTACAGGGAAGTGAGAAAGAGGAGACTCTGATGGGGGGTGGCGGGGGACGACAACCCTAAAATTAAAACCTGAGGATTGCAAGAGCTTTACCTAGACTCTGTTTCTTGTCTATAGATGGAGCTGTTGAGAGTGCAGGAAGTCTTCCCCCCTGAAGGAAATCTAAAGCTTTGGCTCAGCCACTACCCTTCCCAAAGGATGCCCAAAGCAATCCCTAAGGAAAGCTAGGAGAGGGATGCTGATGTCACCAGAATTTTGCTTGAAGGAAGCGAGAGCTTCATATTACGAGCGACATAGAACGAGACTTACTTCTTTTGACATTTGGTTGCATTATATATCCAACACATCCTGGGGAATATACACATTCATTATGAAGGGGGAAATGAATGGGAACAGTTGTCAGATATGTGATTAATGCCAACTCATTTTGGCATTAATGCCAACCATATACTTTTGGAATTTTTTTGGTGCGGGAGGAGCACTGAAGGGAGAAGATGGGAAAACAACTGTGTAACGGAAGAGGGTCTTAGGGACAGAATTCTGGGAGGGAACAGGAAGTTAATGACGGGTGTGAGCCACACCATGGTGCTGCGCCCAAACTTTTCACCCGGGACACAAGGAAAAGGCTGTTTGTTCTGCACTGCAAGGCTGCTCACCACCAAGGAAGGTAGCGCTAGCGCAGTGCAATGCCGACTCCGGTGTCCATTTCAGCACTTCTGCAATGAAATACCCAAGGTTCCATGCCCGGACGAGAGTGCAGAGACCATGCTCTTCTTGGCCAGGGTAAGGCTATGCAGACAGCTGATCCAGCTTGGGAGACTGTTCACTCAATATCAAAAGCTGAATTTAAGGTGCCCAACTTTCGTAACCAAGTCAAACCCTTACCAAGGGCCTCGTCTACAGCATGATCTTTTCCGTGAGAACATGGACCTTTCGAAGTGCGAGATGTCTCCCCTTCCCACTGGCCCCAGCCCCAGCCCGCCCCTTGCCCAGACATGCTATGTGAAGGGGGTGATGAGCACAAGCTGGACGTGCATGGCATGAGAATGGTGATTGCACAGGGTCACAGGCAGTTTTATGGGAGGTGCTCACCATCAAATGCACGCTGGAGCTTGACTTCCTTTTCTGGACACACCATTGAGAGGAGGAAAAAAGAAGGAAACAAAGAGATGAGAAGAGAAGCAGAGAAAATGTTGGCACTTGTGTGTCAGCACAGACCCTGCTGCCAATCATGCTCCTCCAAGAAAGGATCAAGATGGCACAAACATCTGGGCACATGGAAGGCAGAGATCATCAACCTGGCGACACGGCATTCCAAACTCAGCAAGAAGGTAAAACAAAAGGAGAACCAAAAAATGCAGCCAATGTGACATGGGAGAAACGGAAACCGGCGATATGTTCTTCTCAAAATATTCCCAATCTAGCAAAGGAGAGGAAAGTTTTTCCGTAAACCACACACAGTTTCCATCCAAAGAAATCACACTTCTGAACCGCCTATTCAATATGGTAACAAAGGGCAATGGACAACTGGTGTTTCAACCCCTTAGCCTTGGTCTTTCTGTTCAAAACTGCCCTCATCTGGTCAGGTGGCAAGCATCTATTTCCTCACACAAATAAAGAATGTTTAATTCGCCTGTACTGGGAAGGTGGCTTACAATGACAATTACAGCTGCAATTCCAAGGTATGCACAAATGCACCCACAGAGCCAAAAAGCATGCTTGGGATCTTCCAGAGAAAGGAGCATTTCAGCACCCTGCCCATAGAAATAGTTTTCAGGATGAGCCAAAGAGACTGACTGAGTACGTTAACAACACCCCACCCTTTTGATTCTTGTCAAGGCACATGTCACTCTCTCACAGAGCACAGCCCTGGGAACTTGCACAGAAAAGAAGAAACTAGATCAGAGACACTTCCGCACAGATGCACGATGGGTCAGACAAGAAGATGTCAAGTGTGTGCTCCAACAGGAGCGCAGAGAAAAAGGCACTTAGGCACGCTCAGCAGGAGGTGTCTGTGTGAATGGAAACAGCTAGGTTTCATCGAGACCAGAGAGTTTACGAGCCCCTTTTTTGCCTAACCCCAACAAGAGAGAAACATGGCATTTTCTGAAACAGTTCGAGAAAAAATAATGAAGCATAAAACAAGCATGGCTGAGAATGTGCAAGGCACTTCCCAGGTACGTTGGCAGGGGAGTAAGATTAAGTACCAGCCTGCAATGATTGATGGGCAAGAGAAGAAGATGAGGAAAGCCAGAGATTGCAGGAAAGAAGCATGATTAGCATTGCACCATGCTTATTGCTTAAGCAATCCACCCAGATTGTGTTTCCTCTTTCCTTTCTGGCAACAATTATTACCCACATGGGGCATCAGCCACAGTCTTGTTTAGAAATCCTACTCTCAGCCCCTGCTCCCTCCCTCCGGACCAATAAAGAAACTGAGATAATTCCCTTTCCCAGCTGCCTGTTATACAACCTTCTGGGGGCATGTAGATATGTGTTCTGACTCTGCAGAGAAACCCACACAATGCCCACTGAATTGCACATCATATAAATTGTGTTTCAGCAATTACACACGCATTTCAAAAAGCAGGATCGTGGTGTGTGGGGATACAGCCCGATGACTGCTGCTGCTACTAAAAGGTTTACATACACAATCCTATGCATGTCTACTCAGAAGTCCCATTGATTTCCAATGGGGCTTAGTCTGTTTATTTTTTTGCGGTAGATTTTATCATTTTTTGTTGTGGTTTTGCCTTATAGTAACCTATTTGCTACGTAAGCATGGGGAGAGTGGACTTCTATTGAACAAAGCATTAATTAATTAATTGTTTGGATGGCCTCAACCCATGCATTGCACCAAAGCTGGATGGGGCCATAAGCTGTCTGCATTGCAGTCTTGTTCTTAACACAGCTTGTGCCTAAGGCGATATATTGATATATTATCCAAAACCGGTTTTGCATTCCATATCGTGATAATCGGTTTCATAATTTTTGACCTGGCAATGTATTGTGAATCATGATGTGTGTTAAGGCTGAGCGGCGACTCGCTTTCAACATCACAATATATCACCAGCTAAACATCGTGATATACCGATTATATCATGATGTCTGAAACAAGGATGTAATTATGTAGAGGTGAATGGAGTAGTGTCCTGAAAACTGCTGCTACTTAGGGGTCTAAAACCGATACATTTTTACTTACCTTTAACATATTGTTACAACTGTTATTTTATAGTACAGAGGAACAGGGGCAGAAGGAATCGTGAGGCAAGCGATGATCATGGTTTTCCCCACATTGTGATTTTTTACATAGCACACACACACATCGTGATTCGCGATATATCACCATGCTGAATAGTATGAAATCGTTACAATGTGAACTTCAAACTGGATTTGGACGATGTACCGATACCTTGCCTAGTTTGTGTGTTTGATGCAAAAATCACGATGCGAGAAAAACCGTGAAGCCAGCCAATTCCTCTACATAGCTCCTTATTTCAGACATCATGATATATCAGTATATCACGATGTTTAGCTGGTGATGTATTGCGATGTTGAAAACCAGGTCTTGCCCAACCCTACCCGAGGACACTGAGAACATCTTTGTGACATGAAACTTCTTCTCAGAACTGCAAGTGTATTGTCAAGGTAGAATACAAAGCCATGCAAGAGTTCAAACCTACGAGCCCTTTTAAAGCGGAGTTTCTCAAGGCATGCCGTAGTAGGTTTTCTCAAGCATGCCTTATCACGGGCAGTTAAGGAAAAGCAGAGCAAATTGCTTCAGTGTGACAAACCCATTACACTAGCACAAATAATCACGGAACAAGGGGAGAAGGAAGGGGAGACAGCAGGACACGCTCCAGTGGATTGGCAGGGACCAATGGCACTTTGTTCCTCATCCCACAGAAAAGTCTCTCTTAGAGGCCACTCCACCCGATCATGAACGATTTATGCAACTTTGTGAAGAATTCGTGTCTGAATTTTATCATTTTCTTCTTCCCACCCCGTCACTTTTTCCTTTTGCATGAAGTCTATTGGATTCAAGTCTGTGGTTAGAGTTTTGTTTTGCTTTTTCATCTTTGCACAGTGCCAGAAAACACTTCAAATGCTTTACACTTAATAATGGCAGTTTAAGAGATTTTGAGTGTGGGTTTTGGGATCTGCCTAGCTAGTTCAAGTCAGGAGTTGACATTGCCTCATATCCTTCTCCTCCACCCATTTTCTGACTTCTCCACATGCAGCTTCCTCTTTCTCAGTTCAGTGCACACTTACTTCAGTTAACTTGACTGAGTTCCCTGTCTCTTAGCTTCCCTATTTCCTGGGACCTCCTCCTGGCCTCAGCTTGCCACACAGACTTCCTTCTGGCACTTGGGCCTTTGTGAGGTTTAATCGTAGACAATCTCCCCTTCCCTCAGAGAAGCTTGTGTGCAAACATTCTGACAGCTCCCTTCCATCATCAAATTGGAAGGTTTATCAGAATCCAGCTCCATCACAACAATTATTATACACGTTATTATTGATTGATTGATTGATTGATTGATTTATTACACCTTCACTGTTTAAGCATCCTGCATTTGCTCTCTTTGTAACTTTGAAGACACACTGGTAGACTACAATGGTAGACTACTGGTAGACTACAATGATTTCAGTAAAAAAAATGTAAATAATGCAAACCCTTACTTCCACCTGTTTCTCATTAACAAATATAGGGGTTCTAGACCCAAGTGTTTCCTGATTTAATCCCCTGACTCAACACAGATCTCCCATATAGAAATGATCCCCTTAGCCTTAGCTTTTATTTGAAAAGGCCTCAGAAAGTCATTGCAGAGCTGCTTTCTCTCTAACATTTATGCTAATCCTCTCCCTTGATGCAGAGATTTAAGACCACCATTCATTTTATCTTCTGTAGTCTTGTAAAACATTAAAAAACCCAATAATGTTCTTACTAAGCATCTCCTCGATTGATTTGTTCACCCTCCTCTGATTTTCAGCTTATTCACATCCTTCTGGACGTCCAGACCTGACCACAGCAGTTCAGGGATGACATAGTGGACAGGATGGTAGGGAAACCCAGGCTTCATTTTCCGAGTCACGCACAAAGCTCCTCTTAGGCCCAGTTACCACCTATCAACTGAACCTACTTCATGGGCTAGTTTCAAGAATAAAACACTACACATTGCCCAGCTGACAGAGAGGATGGGATACAAATGAAATAAAACACCAACATGACTGAACTACCATTACTTAGGAAGCACAGAAAATCATGTTCCGTTGAGGAAGGAGATTCCTATACATCCCTAGGAATCACGTCTCATTGGCTGAACTGCTCTTATAGTCAAGGGATTATTTACCCTAAACTGGCTTTCGTATAAATGAAAAAGTGGGTTTTTGTCACTTACCTGTAAATTCTAATTCTTCCTAGTGGAAGGAGTTTAGTCTGACAATTGGGATGGCTCCGCCTAGGAGCAGGCAGGATAAAAACTGATGACATCGTCCAGGAAGAGTTGGTTCCTGCTTGCCTCAACCATGCTAGAGCAGTGCCAGAAGAAGACCCCTCCATGCAGAACACAATTTCAAGAAAAGTAACTGTAGTGGTTCTAGGGGTTGCTCGTGCGTAAGCCGGTGCAAACACCTGGCTGTGTTGCCTGAGTGAACCTTTTCTGACCGGACAGCCACTTTCTCGTGGCTGTCTCAATCGCTGGCAGAATCCGTCAGTGGACGTTTCTTAAACTTCTTCCAGCAAAGAAGCTCTTTGACGCCTAGTCTCCTCCTACTCTCTCTGCGCGAAAGCCTTCTGCGCAAGGAGGGCGTAGGCAGCGGAGGACCTCTACTCTCCCCGCTGGTCCCCGGCAAGGAGTCATGGGACCGCCTCACCGCTTCCCCCATCTGCCCCCCTTCTCCACTGGTGCTACGCTGATTCTCTTCCCCAGAAGATGGGCTGCCTCTCCCACGCCCGGGACGCTCTCTGGAATCCCTCTGGATTTTGCTCTCTCCCTCCAGCACTGATGGCATTTCCCTGACAGTAACCAACTATATATCTGAGAAGGCTGCCAACCATAACAGTTTAAAGCAAAACACCACAATATAGAACAGAGGTAATACCCAAAGAGTCAACGGGTCTCTTG